GAATGCTCAATTCGACTTGTTATACAGCATTTGGTGAATTATGCCAGCTAATTGAATAGCAATACAGCAGATCTTTATCCACATGCCAATTGGAAGAGAAAAAAACCCGCTATCTTATATCTTACATATATAATTCAATTTAATTTCATTAATGTGTCTGCGTTGCGTATACGCCGCGTTAGCTGCCACTCGTTGGCTGTGACGCAGTTGCTTTGCTCTGTGCTCTATTAAAATACAAAACTCGATTAATTTTCTTTGCAAAGCAGATTTTGTTGATCCGCTGGCGATAGGCAATTCAGTTTCTCTTTGTTGCTGGCTCAATGTCAATACAAATGAATACACATACAATTTATATTAATTTCTACAAATGTGAGACGCAAAAAAACTTAATCCACTTCATGTGTCGTTTTATTTTCATTTACAGGATCAGTACGATAATCTTTCAATACACACAAACAAAGGCATTGAAGTGCTCGATAAATATGCCAATTTTTTACGGGATCGAGTGGCCATAGAAACGGAATATGCCGGCAAATTAAGGTGAGTGCTATGAATAAATATAAAAGCAAAAAATATAAATATATATAGTTAAGTATTTGTGGAAGTTAAGTTTAAAGTTTATTATTTATGACAGAAATACTCAGATTTAGCTAAGCAATTATTTTACAATCTTATATTATTATACTCTCAAGTGCTAAAAAAAAGAATATTATTTTACCTAAACGTTTCATTTTGGCTTTTATGATCGAAAACTAATTGAAATAATTACAAATGCTTTTAAAGCCTCCGAAAAATGTGTAAATCATGTGGCGCCACTTAATGTCCATATTTGAACGTTCAATTAAATGATATTTTTTGTATACAAATGGATGCCAAAGGCCTCGCCCGTTTCGCGGGCTTGCGGCCTGTCAAGACAAAACCAAAAAACAAGCAAATAAACAACAATAAAAACAACAAACAATTCCTTACAAGAAACAAGACACATTAAACTGAACAGTGCAATTCTCGTAAATGTAAAAGTATTTTTTATTTTATTTTTTGTTTTTGTATATGAATTGAAAAATGGAATCAGCACAAGGTCAGCCAGTTCTAGAGATTGTGCTCGAAGTGCATTGTGGCCATTCCTGGCCATCAGCTGGCTGTATAAAATAAAAAGCTAATTATATGCTTTTGCAGCGACAAAGAGAGCGAGAGAGACCGAGAGACCATAAAGACATTTTAGTCATACATGCACTTCAATTAATGCCCTTTGCAAGCGACAACACATGGACGCAATGCTGCAGAGCATGTTGGGGCGCACCTCAACGTGTGTGTAGAAAGCTGGGCGTTGGGGTGTGCGTGGCTTATACCCCTGACTATGTCCACATGTCCACTCGGGTTCGGCTGTAGCGCAATTTATTGCGCAATAGACTGACAACTGGATAAGCAAGAGACGCGAGACGACCGCGACCTGCCCCACAAACAAATGACACGCGACGCCTCGCGCTGGGTGTAGCTGATAATGCTGCCTGTTTAATGGGATTGAGCTTGGGCAACGACGAGCCCAGCCAGCCAACCGACTGACTGGGCGTCATAATTGTATAAATTGCTTGAGGAGTGCAGAGTCGCCCCTCCACCCCTCTGTGCCGCACGGTGGGATTGTTGTCAGTTATCGTGGCTATCGTTGGCTTCTTCTTCTTCGTCATCTTCTTCTGTATTTCTCAATGCGGTGGTGTCTGTTCCCACCATTTGAATGCCGCAAAATGAGTCGAGAGCTGGCTTGATGACTGACTGAACTCGGCTGAACCAAGTGAACTGTGGCCGCTGATATGCCTGCAGCTAGCTACCGTACGGCCTGAGCCCTTTATAATGACATTATCATTGCAAGACAGCGTTGGCGGCATCGACGACGACGACGACGACGGCGGCGGCGGCGTTGCTTCCCATGCGCTCGAACTAGACCACAAATGCGGTCACATGAAATGGAAAACTCTCTGTATAATAGACTAAATATATATACATAAGTATATAGGTATATATAGTAGTAAGTGAAATCTGAAATCTGAAATCTCTAGTCTGGCAGACAGAAATTTGAAGATTGCTTTGCGTGTCTCGCAATGCCAAAATGAAAAGTCTCGTGTTAATGCAAATGTAAAATGTTTGCTGTTGTTGTTGCTGATTTTGTTGCTCTTGTTGCTCTTGTTATTATTGCAAAAGTAGTTATACATAGATAGTTGTTGTTTCTTTCTATGCATAAACAAAGTTTCACTAATGCCATGCTCTTTTGGTTTTCTTTCTTTTTTACAGGCGCTTAGTGAAAAATTATCAGCCCAAAAAGAAGGAGGAGGAAGACAATGAGTAAGCACAAACTAAACTAACAAATATAGTTATAAGCGTAATAACAATCATATAATAAGAAAAGTAAGAGAACTGTTAAGCTGTGGAGTTGCTCAGCATAGATATACCATGGAGAAGCATAGACGGGGTTAAAGCGTAACAGAAATGAATAAGTCATTTTTCTATATAATTTAGTTACATGCTGCTCTTTAAATTGTGCATAGCTTTTGCCTTACTCTTCGTACAGGGTATGTCTAATTGTTGATGGGTTTCTTTAACACGATTGCGCAAAAGTTTTGTTAAATCTTTTGGAAAATTATCCATAATTTGTTCGATTTGCTGCTGCTGCTGTTTGGCATATATGTTAGAGCAACGTGTTAAGTGGATTTTGGCCAACGCCAGCAATGAATGTCTCTGAGCAAATCCATTTGGTTGCCTCTGTCTGTGCGTGCCTGTGGCATTTCATTTGTGGGGCACAGCCACATCATGTGGATGAACGATTGTGGCTACTTTAGGCTCCATATTCCATGTGTGGTCTGAGAATATTGTAAGGCCTGCCACTCAGTTTTAATTACATACGCACAATGCTCGAATCATTCTCCAGTTTTGCGACCGCCTGACATCATAGCTCGCAAATAGCGCGAAGCGATTTTCTCTCTCTCTCTCTCTCTCTCTCTCTTCTCTTTATTAGCTAGAATTTGTAATATGACTATGAAGCCATTGCGTCCAAGTTGAAGAGTTGGCAATGAAATGCCAGGCAGCATTCAAGCTCGATCGACGTATCGCCATATAGAGTTGTAAAAATCCATAAATTTATTCATGGTTGCTGCCCGGCCTGGAACTGCTTCATATGCGGATTGACAGACGGGCAGACAGACAGATAGTAAGACAGAAAGGCAGTGGCGACGACAGCGTCGCGTGGGTGTTCAGTGCGCGTCACAAAGCGCGTGTCCAATAAGAGGGCCATAAATCGGCAAAGCTGGCGGGCTAGCAAGTTGGTTTTTTAGGGACAGACATTGGAGGTAGTTTGTAGCCGCTAGAAGAGGCGAGAAAAGGCGTGGGTTGACTGTAAACCCGGTTAACTGATTGCCTGGCTGCCTTACTATTTACAGATTTACATCGAGGCAAGCTTTCCGCAATCTGCTCAAGGAGGTGGGCGATTTGGCGGGGCAGCGCGAGGTTGTGTCGGAGACCCTGCAGACGCAGATAATACACGGCGTGACGGTGCTATCGAAAACACTGCGAGAGGACCGCAAGGTAAACTATATAGTTAGCAAATATCAGTCTGTATGCTAGATGGTCATTACTCTTTCTCTTCTCTTTGTAGAAATGCCTTACAGATGGCACCATGCTGCAACAGACCCTCAGCGCACAGCTCTCGGCATTGGAGCGCGCCAAGCGCAACTATGACAAGGCGTATCGGGACTCCGAGAAGGCTGTGGATAACTACAAGAAGGCTGACATGGATCTCAATCTGAGTCGCGCCGAGGTGGAGCGTTACAAGAACATTATGACATCCAAAATACAACAGTCGGACGATGCAAAGAACGAATACGCCAACCAACTGCAGAAAACAAACAATCTACAGCAGCAGCACTATGGTATACTATTGCCCGCTGTCTTCAATCGGCTGCAGGAGCTAGATGAGAAGCGTACGCGTGGCATACGGGAGTTCATTATTGGCGCCGCGGACGTGGAGTCCTCTGTGGCGCCCATTATCGCACGTTGCATGGAAGGCATTGTCAAGGCGGGCGAATCCATAAACGAGAAAGAAGACTCGTTAAAAGTCATCGAAAGGTTTGATTAGAAACTGGATATTTTTTCTTTGGTTCGCTGTCACAGCTAATCAATGTCAACATTTTAGATACCAATCGGGCTTCACACCACCAACGGACATACCATTTGAGGATCTGTCAAAGATGGACCCCAGCGTCGCCCCTCAATCCAACTACAGCAGTGTCCCCTACAACCACTTGACCATTAAGGGCGGCACGCTGACCGCCGCCAAGCTGAAGAAGGCCCGCGGCGGCATCTTAAACAGCATCTTTGGCAGCAACAAGGTGAGAGCAGTCGTTGGCGATGCCTGCTTCTGGTTATGGTTTACCACTTAGCTGCCTTTTTTCTTTCGAAGAGTGCTCCTCTGTTATGTACATGTGTCTCTATCCCATCTCTATCATTGCCTGGCACAAACTGTCTCTCTGTCTCTTTCTATCTCTTAATTTATCTCTTTAAACTTCTGTTTGTTGCGAGAGATTCGAGCAGTCAGCACAACCGCCTCTTGTCTTTCAGATGCTTCTTGATTAGTTTTAAGTTAATTATTAAGTCGTAGGCTTTTTGTCTTCTACTTATAGTTTTACTCATGCCGTCTCTATTTTTCTGTTCTTATTTCATTTAACGAAACCAATCGAAAAATCGTTATGCCATTTCTTTAATTTATGTTACGAAACTAATGGACGTTGGTTCCACGTTGCTGTAAGTACCAAGTGTCCAGCTGCCAGCAGCTCGCACCCAGGCAGCTCAGCGCCGTTTCGTTTCGTGTCCTCCAAACTCATGTCTTACATGTCAACTAAACCTAAACAAGATTCTCGCAGTCTTTCATCTATCTACCCAATACTTATCTACTCTATACAATTAACAAATGCATACGAATTTATATATATTTTTACGTCTCTGTTGTTTGTCACATTACTAAACAAATGTTATATATTATGCAACAACATTGGCTGCCTACGCTTTTCATACTCGCTTTTCCAGTTTCGACAATTCGCCACAAACCACTCAAAATTTTCACAAATATTAATTATAATTAACTCTTTAATTTCTTTTACGCATATTTGTTGCTGTCATACAATTTTCTAACACGAACAAAAACATGCTTTTACTTACACAAACATACATACACAACACCCACACATGCGGAAAAACAAACTGTGATACGTTTTCAATGTAATAAATAACAATAATTCTAAATCAATTCGCTGCCAATAGCAACGGCAGATAATTGAAGCTTGTATCACGATGAAGGTATGATGTATATTCCAGCTCTACTAACTAACTGCTCTTAACACCACATTAACTACTAATCACAACTGCTAAACATAATCGCCACAAGCAACTTAATCAAGATCTTCATTGAGTATCACAATCACGTTGTACACCTAACCTTAAGAACAGCATTTGAACTAAACCCTAATCAATGAAATGTAATACTCAAGATAAATTAACTCATTTGTTAACTAGTTAGTTAGTTAGTGAACGCAACACGCCAAAGCACAACACTCACACATTGCAGAACAAATAATTTAATTTCAATTCTAATTTGTTGTTGGTATTTAAAAGAAATTACAAAAAGAAAGGAATGCAAAATGCAATTTTGACTAATTCTTTTATAATTATTTCATTTATTGGTTTTTATTTGAATTTCTGTTTAGGTATTCATATGTTTTGTTTTTTTTTTTTTTCCCATCTGGCGTCTGCTATACGTTGTGAATGTATTTTGTATAAAATTGTTGTTCCATCTTTCTGTCTTGTATAGTTCATTGCACTTCAACATACCCTATAAATATATACATATATAGAGGTCTCTTGCAGCTGGGTTCAATAACTAATTACTTAATATATTCATATCTAGAATTCACTAACTGCGGACGGCCAAAAGGAGGACTTTAGCGATCTGCCACCGAATCAGCAGCGCAAAAAGCTGCAGGCGAAAATTGCCGAGCTACAGCATAAGGTCGATCAGGAGACGAACACCCGCGATGGTCTGATGAAGATGAAAATTGTTTATGAGGCAAACTCCTCGCTGGGCAACCCGATGACCGTTGAGGGTCAACTGAACGAATCCGAGCACGAATTGGATAAACTGAAAATGAGTTTGAAAAAGTATCAAGGCTTTTTGGACAAGGCTAATCAGCTGCAGGTGGCCAACAATAGTCCGCAATCGAATCGTAATCAATTGCAAAATGGACACCGAACATCCAGGTGAGTGGCCGACAATTTGTATTATATTCCCATAGTATGGCTTAAATGAAATGTATTCATTTTTGTTTTCACAGACATTCCAATGGCAGCGCTAGCGCTGATGATCATCATGATGCCGATGATCAGCCCGATGATGCTGGCAGCTTAAGCAGGTCAGATTCTGAGGATAATGTGGCGCAAATACAAAATGGGCATAATAATAACAATAACGGGTACACTCATAAGTCTACGTTCAATGTTTATATATACGCACATACAGCTACACATTAATACAAACACACATACACACACACACCTCATACATTATTGTATATCGTATCATACTTATGATTTGGCTCGTTTTCGTACTCATGCTGTATGATTTCCATTGTACATTGTTTGGTGGCATTGATTTTGTTGTTGGTTTTGGTTCCATTTGTTCAGTTAATTATGTCATGATTTGTCATTTTTGAATAATAAGAACAACTGCCCACTAAAGAAAAGTCCACACTACGCCAAAGAAAGAAAATTTGATCTTGATTGTATTCAATTAACTAAATTACTTTTAGTTCGTAATCATTTTTAATTGCTTACACCATACATATAACACGTAATAATGTCGAAATTGCAACTTCTTCAAATATTTCGTTTCATTTTGCCTTTCCATGGTGAAATCCAGCAGTTCGGCAAGTCCCGAGAGCGGACTAGGCACCTCGCACACATCACTGCCCGGCTCCGGACAGGGCAGCGCCAATGAGAATCCGATTGGTGAAGAGACGAGCTACGAAGCGGAAGTAGAAATGCTGCAACCACTGGGCACATGTCGTGCGCTATATCCCTTCGAAGGTATGTATTTAAATATTACTCTATATACATATCCTAAGTGATTATCTCTCTTTTTCTGTCTTCCTCTCTGACAGCTACCAGCGAAGGCAGTATACCCATGAGCGAGGGCGAGGAGCTTCAAGTGATTGAGAATGATCAGGGCGATGGATGGACGCGCGTGCGGCGGGCGAACAACACAAATGGCTGGGACGAGGGCTTTGTGCCCACGAGTTACATCGAGTGCACACTCTTTGCTTAGATTAGATTAGGCGGATGGAGCGGGCAGTTAAGCAAATTTTAACTACTTAACAGCATTTGCATATGTTCCATACAATTGTGTACTTTTGTCATAACTTTGCGTTATTCTGAACAGCCATAAAAACTGAATACCACAACTATCACGAATATTCACACTCTCGCACACATGAATACATACCCATACACACGCATCTTACGCACAACCATGTACATTCGACTTAAGATAAGTTAAAAATTCATTTTCTGAACGCTCATTTGTATATTTACTTTGATTTACTTTGGCATTGATTATGAAGTAGAGATATCATAAATTATATAATGCGATCACTAAGCATAGCTACATATTTACATATGTGTATATATATACATGGGTATATATACATACATACAAACATATGTGCACCCACGAGCAGACCTCACCTAATTGTAAGCGAAAGAAATTTCAAATTTGTCCCTTTTTCACAACAGAACAAGTATAACAATCATGTATTAACTATTTATACACAACATATATAAAATGTAATTTATATGGCACTAAAAAAAAAAAGAAAGAAAAATAAGAAGAAAACTACATATTTCACATACGTCATGAAAAATAAGCTGGTAAACATATTGAAGGCATACTAATGCCTAAGCGCACCTTGCAATATGCTTACTAGATTTATTTTTTATAATCACATTTCATATTTAATGGCACCTGCTACTTTTCGAGCTGACCAAGAAAAGCAACAGTTATTGTGGCTATTAGATACAAAGAAGAAACACTAAATAAATGCACCTTAAATCATTGATAAATATATATATCATATATATATACATACTTATATATTGAGAGAATGAAATGCATTAAACTAGAGAAGAGAGAAAGAACGCTTCTCTGGACCACATTCAGTAATATTCAATGAAGAACTACTTAAAGTGTTAATTATAGCAAAAGTTATGACAATTTTGCATTTGCATGAGGCATATGCGAATTGGAGAGCAAAGAACGCGTTAGCTTGTTAAATATGGAATAGCATCAATTGTACATTTTACTTTACACTTTATGCATAAAACAAAAAGAAAAACAAAAAAAAAAAAAAGATGGAAAAAAACTTAATTATAATTTTATACCTAAATAACTTTTGTATTGCTTTTGCCTTGTACATTTTCACATACACACACACATACACCTACATACATACACACACACATATATGTATATGTTTAATGAGATGATAATGATGAGCTAAACACAAGAATTAATTACAATTCAGAATAAATTTTGTTTTAGGTCCCTTAGTTCTTTAAGTTGACAACTTTTAAGACTTAAGTCAAATGCAAAGCCGCTTGGCGCTACCTTTTGTTATGTTGAACGCCACTTTGCAATACATTTATTTATACTTTACATAAATAATAATATATATACTATATATACATATATAATGGAAAAACGAAAACATGCATATATTAATAACCGTAATCAAAAGTTGAAAGTCTGCTGCATAGCGAACGCCTGGCAAGTGAATTAGATTCTTAGTTAGTTAGTTTCTACTGTACTTGAATTTATTTTATTTTGCCCATCTGCCTGGCAACTGGTTCGTCTGTTTGTAGTCCGGGTCCGATCTTGCTCCACGAATGATATACCCAAGCAGGTTGTAAATATGCCGAAACAGCTATCCTTGCATAACTACTGTTTCTTTGTCACACTTGAGTAATGCTTTATAGTTCTCGCAGATTTAGCATTTATACTGATGAACAATTGAGTGTGGATGACCTTGTTCAGTAAACTAAACTAAAACAAAGCCTAAACTAAGCAGAAAATAAAATTCCGAAATTCTCAACTTTATATAATTTATACATGAAAAGCTGAGCATCATTGATTTGATGTAGGCGTCGTCGTTTAATCTATGAGTGAACATCAGAACATATGTAATTATAAAATAAATAATATAAAAAACAAGTAAGAACGTTGCAGTCGGGCGTTACCGACTGCGGAATACTCATTCACATCCCATCAACAATTTAATAGTTAAGTTTCGTTCTAATACTGTAGAATATACAGGTTTTTCCGATTTGCCACGCCCCAACTGGGCGTAGACACCTCATTTTTGGTCAGTTTTTAGAAAGAGATAACGTTACCCTAACTGCAAAGTTTGAATGCTTACCCTAAAAAAATGTGAAAATTACAGGGTATTTTTCGATATGCCACGCCCCTAAAGAGGCGTAAAAATTATTTTTGGGGAATCGATAGAGGAGGCTACCAGTAACTCAACTATCCAAATTTGAAGCTTCTAGCTATTATACTTTAGGAGATATAAACTTTTGCGGTTTGCCACGCCCCCTGTGGGCGGACATATATCCGACAAAACTTTTTGGTCTTGGGTGATCAGTCCGAGTATATATACAAAATTTGAGGTCTCTGCCATCAATAGTGTCCNACGGACAGACGGACAGACGGACAGACGGACGGACGGACAGACGGACAGACGGACAGACGGACGGACAGCAAGACGGACATTGCACAAAACCAATATACTGATTCACTTTCGTGAATGAGTATAATTATCGAATGTGGTTTAATAATTTTCCGGCCTTGGTTATTAGCAAGTGGTGCTAGCCTTCGTTAAAGCCAAACAAAAGCTAACTGATATGCTATAGAAACTACTGGCGCCATCTGTAGTACAGCTGTAGAAGCTTAAAGTTTTTGTGGACTTTGCGACATTTCGATTTAGCTGTCAAGTTTTTTAGTATTTGTTGTATTTAAATTATTTATTTTTTTTATACATATATATATAATTTGAAACATGGCTGTTGCGGAGATAGACGAAGTATTGGATCTAATTGGTAAATATATTTACTATATTAACTTGATCAGTCAGCGATTTCGCCCATAGGATTCGGTTGGATCCAAGTGCTGATGTTCTTGGCCTGCACATTTGCCAGTATATTCATTGTCAACGAAATCATAGGCATCAATGTGGTCTCCGTAGACATAGCCTGTGAGTTCTCACTGAGCAGTTTGGAACTTTCTATGCTATCCAGTGCCGGCTTTGCTGGATTAATTTTGGGATCGCATTATTCGGGCTTCAAGACGGATCAGATTGGACGGCGCAAGGTGATGATGTATTCCTTATGCATGGCAGTATCATCGTCGATGACTTCAATATTTATGCCTACTTTCTATTTATTCGCACTGTTGAGATTCATGACCGGTTTGTTGTGAGTACGCCCCAACGTTTCACCTGGCTAAGAATCTAGCAATGGTTACTATCTGCTCCACAGCGTCTCCGGTGCCAGTTGCAATAACATTACGTATATGTCGGAGTATACCAAAGCCAAATATCGCGCTTCGATCATCAACTTTATGTGCTACGCCTTTGCAGTCAGTGCCATTTACTTGCCACGTAAGTCGCGTCTCTTCTGCTTCCTATCCCTTGACTTCCTTGACTCCACTAAGCCAGAGACTCCCCTCAGTTGTAGCTTATATGCTGACGCCAATGGATCGTGTATTGTTTACCATGTACAAATTGAATTGGCAGGCTTGGCGTCTTAGTATGCTTATTAATATGACTCCTGGCATTTTAGCCATTATCTTCTTTTCGACTCTGCCGGAGTCGGCCAAATTCTTACTATCCATTGGGCAGGATGAGCGTGCCTATCAGACCATCAATCGTCTCTACAAATCGAAGCGAAAGCAGGACTTGACCAGCGTCGGCATCACAGGCGTTACTGATCCCAACTCTCCCTCAAATTTGGAAGATAATCGCAATTGTTGCGTCAAAATCTGGAGGGGCACGGCGCCACTGTTCCGGCAGCCCCTTGTGGGCAATTTCCTGATCTGCACCACCATCCTCTGTGGCTTTTTATTCGTGTGAGTTTGTGTCTTCACAAAGGTCTGTGCCAAATGTAGTTTGTCCACTCTCTTCCCATTAGAGGCTCTGCCATTTCGTTGTGGTTCATGGAGCTGCGTCAGTTGATGGGCAGCAGGCGGATGACCGTCTGTGATATGTTGCAGAATAACGCAACGAGTATCGTGAAGGCCGAACGGATTTGTCCATCAAAGACATCCAACTTCATCGACTCTGTCGTTTTAGGTGCCACCTTTCTTGGGTGCAGCATTGCAGTCAGCCTATTTTTACTATGCATGCGACATTTTCAAATTCTATTCATGTTTACGACTCTCGCAACCATATGCGGTCTAAGCCTCAATATGCTGGTGGATACGGTGCCCATCCTGGTGGCCACGGCGCTGTTCACTACGCTCTGCACCAGCTGCATTCCACTGATCTCATCCGTTTTACTTGATCTAATGCCGACGCATATCAGGTGATTGAAATGCCAGTGCTGCCAATGCTGTTTATAGTCTATATGCATTTATATATTCACAGAGGCATGGCCATCAGCATGGGCTTTTTATTTGCGCGCATCTCGGTAATTCTGGCTAATATTTTAATGGGCTTTTGCATGGTTCCCTACTGCTTGCTAACATTTAATCTTTTTGTGCTGATTACATTGGGTAAGTTGTCAGCGGTTCGTATACTTGATTTTTGCATAAGAAGAGAATTTCCCTTTTGCCTACAGTGGTGGCGATATTATCATGTACTCTGCCCAAATCGTAGACTGGATTACTGGCGCCATCTATAGTTCAAGTTTTGTGCTGAAGGTGTAAATTGCATTATCTGATACGTATATTACTATAAATGTTCTTTGGTCGCATCTCAATAGTAAATCGGAATAAGAATACATCATCGCTCAAATAAATATTGTTTGTTTATTGAAACTCAATTTGATATACATATTGTTGTGGGTGTTTTTCTTCATTTTGGTTTTTGGTTATGCTACATTTAGTAATAATAATATTTGTATATATATA